CTGTTTCGCTTAACGTTTTTTTTTGACAGCCCTGTTTTCGCTATTTTAAAAATATTCTAAAATATTTAAAAATGTTTAAAATGCTTGGAATCGTTAGTGCACCTAATAAAACCTTTGTTAAAGTAATTTGGCTTCGTTCTGAGTCTTTTTGAATTTTTGGTGATTTTTTTTCACCATTGAAATGTATTGAACAGGCTCCTATTGGAACGGATTAACCGGTTTTCAATGCATTCCTATGGGAAACTGTGTTTTGCTTGACGATATTTTCACATAACGATGTTTTTAATGGAACCAATTAACATCGTTATGCAAGGCACCACTGTATATAGGAAATATCAGCCATTCCCAATGGGAGAGGGCATATGGCTCCCTGTGGGCCCCTGACATACTTAAAATGAGTCACAGACTGGAAGCAATTCTTCACACATAATGTTCATTATGTGACTTATACAACCCTGATTCAGTCTATATTTCTTTCATATTGTGTTTATGGCTGTGGGCAAAGAAAGGGTGAGAACGGTTGACTACTTCATGATGAAAACAGACTATATATACGTATTTGAAATTATCTTTATAGAATTTAATGGAACACTGCTGTAAGAATGGCTCTTAGTTGACCTACTGTTGTCAGAAACATGTTTTCCTACTGAAAGCCAACAAACTGTCCTAGAAGAATATATTTCACATACCATTTTTTACATATTGCATTTTTTAATTATTGGCAAGCCTCACAAAGAGATTGCCACATAAATCAATTTTAATTATATTCAAAAATGCAGAAACAAAACCTAAGAATCACTGACTTAGGATGAAGAAAATATTTTCCAAAGACTACGTGAAGATATTATGTTTTCAGACAGTCTGCAACAATCTATTTTAAATCTAGAACTCATACCATATATGGATACACACACAACCTGGTTTTTTTTTCAATCTTGATTTTTAAATCGACACATATAGCCTGTCTACAAATTTACACACAACTTTGTTTATTCAACAAATGTGAATATTATTCTCATTCAATGCTTAAAGAAATCATGCTGGATACCTCACCCTATGGGTGATCCAAACATCAAGGCAATGTAACCCACAAGAAAAATACACTGTTATCAATTACTTTAGAAGAGGGAATACCATTAGGGCAGGTGGTAATTTTTTCCTGGAGTGAAAAGATGAGGGGCACTATTTCAGCCACCTCTTCCAGCTTAAAAGACTGTGGAAAGTGTTCATTAAAGCATATCAAAGGTATCCCACCCAGTGTAAAAAAACAGTACAGTATACTTTTCATGGACAAGAACGAATGTTGTAAAACCAGCAAGGTTACTACTGTTATCAAATTAGTTCTTCCACATAAATAAAACTTATTCCCCATCCTAGCTTGATACATTATTCATCTTTTATGAACTAGAGTAAAGGTACCTGTTATTTGATACTTCTTTCCCACTTTTTTCTTGGGATAGCAAAGGTAAAGGTAAAGGTTCCCCTTGACATTTAATCTAGTCATGTCCGACTCTAGGGAGCGGTGCTCATCCCCATCTACAAGCTGTAGAGCCAGCGTTTGTCCGAAGACAGCTTCCATATTCACGTGGCCAGCACAATTACACATGGAACACCGTTACCTTCCCACTATGGTGGTATCTATTTATCTACTTGCATTTACATGCTTTCAAACTGCTAGGTTGTCAGGAGCTGGGACAAGCAACGGAAGTGCACTCCATGACATGGATTCAATCTTACGACTGCTGGACTTCTGACCTTGCAGCACAAAGGCTTCTGTGGTTTAACCCACAGCACCACCACGTCCCCTGGGATAACAAAATCCATGTTCAAAATATATATGCAACACAAACTCAGGGTACATGCAATGACAGAATGCAATCCCACAGTACTTTTCTTATCCTCTGACAACAGGTAGAAAAATGTCAGCACTATATCAGAATTGGGCTTCAGCAACATGACAATGTCTACTACTGTATATAGAATGTCATTTGTAATGCCCAAGAATATTCAGCAGAACATTCAGGGTGTGGCCAAAGGCATGAAACAATGCACAGTAAACTCTATTTTAAAAAATATATCCATGCTGCAAAACCTTCCATAACTTGCTGTCCACCATACAATCTGGGCTATACTACTCAGCCTTCAGCCAACATGACAATGGGCAGCAATTACAAGAGTTACAACCCAAACTTGTTGTACACCATATGTTTTGGGCTAAACTGTACTATTATGCTCAATCAGCATGGCCAATGGAGAGGGATTAGAATAGTCATAGTACAAAACAAATGGAGAGCATTAAGTTGGGAAAGGCAATACTAAGGGAAGAGTGTTTTGTAAGCCACAGCACCTAACAAAATAGCTGCTAAAACAAGCCCTAACTGCATCTTCAGCCACTGATCCACTTTAAAAACCTGAGAATTTCCTATCAGAATTACTGATTAGTCATTACTCCTCCGATAACCTATTGCGCATGCACACCAAAATTCCTCAGGGTATACAGTCAGTAACTTCATGAACAGTATGACATACTGTATTGCTTTTTTTCCAAACAGAACTTCACAGAAACAAAGGCAATTGACCAATTATGTTTGCACAGTACCTTTGGGGATATTTACTAGATATGTTCAGGACAGCATTGCCAAACTATTGCCCTCCAAATGTTTTAGACCACAAATTCCATTATTCCTTAAGTACTACCCGCATTAGTTGAACCATGTGCGGTTTCTGTATGAAACTTCATGAAGACACCAGAATAAGCAAACCCAGCTGGTACTTATACATAACTAACAAGTTATATGTTCAGACAGCATGTCAAATTGGTTTAGCAAAGTGGTTCCCAAAAATCAACCAAAACCTCAGTCAGTGTTCCATTTTTGTTGGAGCCATCTGAACTTTGCCCATACTATATATTCTATGCTGCATTGCCACCATCTTCTAAGGTCAGAGAGTTTGATATAAAAATTGTACCACTAAGGGGGAGGATGTCACATATCTGATTCATGTACTAGAGGGCTACTGTTTCATACTTTTGAGTTCTACATAGATCTGAGGTCTGGCGAGAGTCCTGCAGAAGCACAGAACTTGGCCACAGACATCCTGCAGGATGGAAGGTAATGCACTATCAGTGCTTTTGCTTCCAAATGAGTCTAAGGCATGACCCTATGTTTCTGTGGTTTTGATCCTTACTCAAGCCTTTTCAAGCATCTGCCAACAAATGCCTGATACTGCTATTATTTTAACTATTCAACTTCTGAGGGGCTATGGTAACTTTTATATTTGCTTGTTTTAATATACTGTACACTCCTTTAAATATGAAGTTGACTATAAATAAATAAATAAATATATAAGTTGTCTTAAACTGAAATGGTGAAGGATTTTTCACAACCATACAGCTAAACAGAAGCTTATATATATTTAAATATATTATTGACTGTTTAGATAAACTTTTTATATAAACAAAATACTGTTATTTTCAGTAATAGTTTTATTAGGTGGAATATTATTATACTTCCTCCATTTAAAAAATGAAAACATTCTTTTGTTCAATTTACAGCCTCCCAGATTAGTCTTGTCACCCGACCACCACATTATCTTCAAAGTAAAAAAGTTCTAATTACAACAGAATAGCATTATTAAGAATGGAAAAGTAAACAGCCTGTAAGCAGGTTACACATTATAATCACAGTGTACTACCAACTGACTTTCTCAAAACCTATTCTATTTTATCTTCTTTAAAAATTAATCTGCTCCAGTCCTACAGACCAGAACCTTAACTGAACAATACACTAAACACCTTGATTCGTCTTAGCACGTAAAATGTGCCCAATTCCATGGAAAATAAAATGGAACAAGGTTTCTACATAAGCCCGTAACATCAAAGCCAGGGAAACATTAATTCAGTTAGGGTTCATTATCAATATTCAGCAAACATCAGTCATCAGAGCCTTTTCAAGCAATGCTTACCACCAACATTAAAAGCACTAGTCTATTCAAACAATATAAAGTATAAAAGTAAGCGGGCAACAAAATTAATATTATGCAACGTTAGCAACCATTATCGCTTTCAAGAATATAATAAAGATCAACAACACCCAAAAATCTATCCCCACCCTCCATTTAGTTTCTGCCAAAGGAGCAAAGAGAAAGAATTATTTTCAAACATGTCACAGTGCGAGACTGGCAATCACTGCGGCCACTAATAAAATGCTAGTCACTTTCCCAATCTTTCTCATGGCACGCTTACTAAAAGACTGAATTGAAAGCAACAACACGCGCCAATTGTCATACAAAAGCGCAACTCCGCTTCACTTGAAAACGAAGCGTCATTGCGACTCGATCCAAACCAGACGTCTGAAAAGGGCTGTGTGGGACACCTGGCTGATGCAGAACCTGAGCGGGTCACGATCAAGGTCATATAATTTGACAGCCCTGGAAACACAGCATCCCTTTCAGCTAACAAGAACATGCGCCATGCCCCCCCCCTTGGCTTGCTTTTTGCCTCTGACGGGGGCGCGGGCAGCGTCACGGGTCTCAGACGCGAAGGAAGGAGGGCGGAAAGCATGGTGCGCAAAGGAAGCGAGTGCTCCTAATGGCAGCTTTCAGAAAAGGCAGCCACCGCCGCCGCCACCCCACCTCTTCTCGACCCGAGACTCAGAAACCCGTGGGGCCGCTAGGCAGGTCTACGCAGGAGCCGCAAGGCGCTCGGACGTAGCCGCAGGAGCCGGCACAACAGGCCAAACCCGTTAAAGGAGACTCAGGAGAGCCCAGGCTCCCTGGAGCCCCGCCGCCGTCCACCAACCTAGTACAGTACGTTCGCGAGTTCCCCACTGAGGAAAACGGCGCCACCCAGGCCCCGGGACTCCCACACGCAGCCCTAGCCGGTCCCCGCCCCTCTCTGCCTTTGTGAGGCCACGGCGGGAACACTTTTGTGCTCCCTCATGGGGTTCCTCCCTGCCACCTGCTTTCTCTAGGACAGCGGCCGAAGAAGCGCCATGCCTTACCGGAGGCTTCGTGCGCGAAAAGACTCGAATTCTTCAAGCCAGCTCCGGTGCCCGAGTGCAGCCCAGCACCGCCGACTGAGCAGCGCCACAAAATGGCCGCCACGACTGCGGTGCCGCTAGCCCGCCCGCCCGCCTGGCGCGAGGGGAGAGAGGGAGGGTCTTCTAAGGGGGCGGGCCGAGGCGGAGTGGGCGTGGCTTTTTCGGCTTTTGCGATGACCGCACCATCTCTCTGGAGCCAGAAAACAGGGGAGGTTGTGCGTTGTGTGCTGTTTTCGCTGGATTCCCCCCCTTTGGGCGCCAGCGGGGTCCGTGTCGGCTACTAGTGGAACCCATGAGCCGGAGCCAGTTTGCTTCATTCACAAGCATATGGCATTGTGATCTACGGCATGCCAAGTACTGTACAGTAATGGGGTGTGTGGACTCTCTTCAATAAAGTACTCTATGTCTCTCTCAAAAAGCCCTTAACCGATCATCCTTGCCCACCGGAAAGAGGGTGTAAATTCAGAAGTAACAGTACACGCCTATTTCGAATGCAAAAGGCGTAAACAGATGCTTTTGTGTAAAGACAAGGGCTGCAAGTCTTCATTCTGTACTTTGTTATTGCTTTGTTACTGCTAAGACGTGTGTTTATGCAATCTGCTACTTCAAAACAGTACCAACATAGTTTGGCTCTGCTTAGATACTGTGTGCTTTTGGGAAGTGGCAGCGTTTCTACTGTGTCTTAGGCAGCCAAATGGGCTGACTCCGATGCCAGGTTCTGCCCCTGACATCTCTTGACTAGGAACACCTGTGAACTGTGGAAGACCACTGCCTGTCCGAATAGAGAGGATATTGGGCATATGTGGCATGAGCCACATATTAAAAAGCAGAGACCTCACCTTGCGTGCTTTTGGAAAGTGGACCATAAAGTAAGCTGACCGCCAACAAATTGATGCCTTTGAATTGTGGTGCTGGAGGAGGCTCTTGAGAGTCCCCTGGCCTGCAAGGAGAACAAACCTATCAATTCTAAAGGAAATCAACCTTGAGTGCTCACTGGAAGGACAGATCATGAAGCTGAGGCTCCAGTACTTTGGCCATCTAATGAGAAGAGACGACTCCTTGGAAAAGACCTTGATGTTGGGAAAGTGTGAAGGCTAGAGGAGAAGGGGATGACAGAGGATGAGATAGTTGGACAATGTCATTGAAGCAACCAACATGAATTTGACAGAACTCTGGGAGGCAGTGGAAGAAAGGAGGGCGTGGCGTGCTCTGGTCCATGGGGTCATGAAGAGTCGGACACGACTAAATGACGACGATGGCATGAGCCAAATAATGCTAGTTTCACATGCCTCCAGTTGATCCTCTTTAAATTAAGTAATAGACTATTGATTTTCACAGTTTTGCTATTCCTAATATTATCACTGCTGCTCCAATTGTCGCTGCATGATTTGAGAGGTCTTTCCTTTGAGGAACGATCCACAAGTGATTTCATACATGGAGAAAAGGGATGCAAAATGTTGTATGAAATGCCAATTATCACCTTCATTTTGTACAGCATATCACATCCTTTGTTTTTAGAACCTCTCTAAAGGCTGCAGCAAATATTATGTAAAAAATAATTAATTTGTTCTTATCAGCCTAGGACATTTCCCCAACAAATTTCTAAATTTGTACTAATAATCTATAATCTGGTTTTAGATTTGGTAGGACACCCCATGTGGGTGTACAGTGGAGAAAGCGAAGGAATGAGACTTAGGAGATCTGGGTTCAAATTCCCTGCTTGGCCATGGAAGCTTATGGGGATCGGGTGGAACTGCTAAAACCATTCCTTAAATACTGTATGGCACTTATTTTGAAAGCTCTTTTAGGATTGCTAGAAGTCAGTTCAAACTTGATGGCACATAACAGTGAAGAGATAATGCTATTGATAGGTTTGCTGCTGCTTTTAATTTAGAACTGACTTCATTTCTGGGCAGGTAGATTATATTTTATGTGCTTCACTTCCATCCCTATCTGCATCTTTTCCATTAAACCTTTGCACGTATTCCAAATTCTCATACCCATTTTAGAGAGGCATTTATTTTTTACTGGGATTAGGACAAAATTTCTTTATCCCTCTCCCACAATGCTTGGCAAGCCTTTAATGAGTTCCTTCATTATATATACATTTTTAATATTGTCCATTTCCTCCAGTGAACTCAAGGAAAGGTACATAGCTTTCCTCTTCCTCACTTTTATCCCCACAACCCCAATAGATCAGGAAAAGAGACAAATGGACAAGGGTGAGACTTGCAGCCAGAGTCTACTAGTTTAGCATTTGAACCACTAAACTAAACTGGAGCTCTGGTAACTGACATATAATAGTATGATATCTAAAGCCTTTTACTGCCTGAGGCAAAAGAGGTTGTGCTTTTTTTCTCCATTCTCTGTACAAAATAGTAGGCTGACAGTAGAATCTTATCTCAGCACTGCAAATAGGATAGCACCTAAGGACTGTATGACACACCCATCTCCCTCTCTCTCCTTCTGCCCTCAATTTGGTGACTGCTTTATTTTGTCCAATGGTAAGGCGAGCCCTGATCATTAACAGTGATTAGAATATCCTCTTCAGACACAGGCATGCCATTCAGTGGTGCCTCTCTAGACAGTTACCCCGCATGACAGTTTTTTCACTAGACATTGGCTTTTTACAATCGCTATAGCGATTCGCAAAACAGTGATTCGTATGGGGGAATTTCGCTGGACAGTGTTTGGTCCCTGCTTCGCAAACCGATTTTCGCTAGATGATGATTTTGACAGCTCTCTCCGCACTCGCAAACAGGTGTTTTCGGGACCTAAGCTTTGCAAGACAGCGATTTAAACAGCTGATCGGCAGTTCGCAAAGCGGCTTTCCTATAGTTGATCTTCGCTAGACAACGATGATTCTTCCCCATTAGAACGCATTAAACAGGTTTCAATGCATTCCAATGGGGAAATGCTTTTCGCTAGACAATGATTTCACTAAGCAGCGATTTCAGTGGAACGGATTATCATCGTCTAGTGAGGCACCACTGTATTTAAAACTATCCTTTTATCATTATTTAACCGCTATGATTGTACTTATGACAGGTTAGTTGAAGAGTAGTAGGGATAGCTAATTTTTGTTAAATAATCTTGATTATTAAATAATCTTAACAAAAATATTATTAAGCATGGGTTATTAATTAATTTCAAAGAACATAGGCATCCTGTTGGTCCTTTAAAAAAATACAAGATCTCTATAGCAGGAATTTGGATTCCCTAAAATATTACAAAGCTGGCTGGACAATGGTTTAGATATCTTGAAAGTTTAATTCCCCACTATGCCTCCTGGGAGTTTGAAAGTTTAATTCCTCACTATGCCTCCTGGGAGAAGAATCAGCATGTATAGTCATGGGCAAAAAAGGATTGGTATCAGCCTGTATAGTCATGGGCAAAAAAGGATTGGTAAACTGCTTCTGTGTATTCTGTATCTGAAATATCCTAGGAATGGACTCCATTTTTTTTTCAAAGAAAGTAGAGTTTTGTTGTTTCGAACCAGGTGAAATATTTATTGGAGTATTTAACAAATAACTAGTGTCTGTAACATGATCCGATGTCTTTCTCCTTCTGACAACGGGTCTCGAAGGGGCTTCCAATCGTTGAACAGGAACAGGTTTCTACTGCCGACATTTCATGGACCCAGCCAGTCGGTAAAGATGTCGTCTGCTATGTTCTGTCTCGTCTCACCTTCCAACAAGGACATGGTCTCGTTGTCCCGATTGTCATTCCACAGGGATTATCCCTCTGGTGTTGGACCCTTCTGGGGTCCTCCCTGTTACTCTTCCTCCTCATTTCGATTGTCCTCCATTCTAATCTTTTTTTTTCCTTTCCCTCTCAACTTTCTCTTTCTCCTCTCTCAGTCTCCTTCTCCACTCCCTCACCTCGGCTTCTCCCCAATACGAGGGTCTGGGTGGAATCTCCCTTCTCCTTCTATAATCTGCCTCCTTCTTGGGCACTCTTAACCTCTCCCGTGCCCCAGTCTAGAGATCCTCCATCCATACCCAGTCCCAGCCTGGCAGTAACTGCTCTTCCTTCCTTTTTATCTCTGCTTTCCCTGCCTCAAACTTCACCCTCTTCTTCGTCTCTTTTCCCACCGATTTTCCCTGAGCCCCTCCTAATGTCCTTTGTTGGAACGAAACATTCTAGTCTAAAACCAATCAATCTGTCAGTTATACCGTATTATCCTTGACATGGCATATTTCAGTTATTATTCACTATGTGTGCCTTAGCAGTGTCTTTGGGCATATTTTTTTCATGTTAACTAATTTGATTTGCGATTTTAGTCTGACATAGAATATTTTATTTATTTATTTATTTATTTATTTATTTATTTATTTATTTACGTACAGTATAGTTGTTGTTTTTTAATGGATCAACATCAGATCCCTTTGACATCCAAAGCAGAGTGAAACAGGGCTGTGTCCCTGCGCCAACCCTATTTGGGATCTTTTTTGCTGTCATGCTGAAGCATGCTGTTGGAACTGCAACAGGTGTCTATCTCCGGACTAGATCAGATGGAAAGCTCTTTAATCTCTCTAGATTGAGAGTGAAGACCAAAGTCCAGCTGAAACGCATGCGGGGCTTCCTCTTCACTGATAATGCAGCTGTTGTTGCCCATTCTGCTGAAGACCTTCAACAACTCATGAATTGTTTTAGCAAGGCCTGCCAAGACTTTGGATTGACAGTCAGCCTGAAGAAAACACAAGTCATGGGCCAGGGTGTGGACTCACCTCCCTCTGTTACCATTTCCACGAAAGAATTGGCGGTTATTCATGACTTTGTGTACCTTGGCTCAATGATCTCCGACACTCTCCCTAGATGTCAAGCTAGATAAATGCACTATCCAGCTACCATGTTCTCTAGACTCACAAAGAGAGTATGGCTTAATAAGAAGCTGACAGCATATACAAGATCCAGGTCTATAGAGCCTTTGTCCTGAGCACACTCCTGTACTGCAGTGAGTCCTGGACCCTTTGTGCATGGCAGGAGAGGAAGCTGAACACGTTCCATATGCGTTGTCTCTGATTCATTTTTGGTATTACCTGGCAGGACAAAGTTCCAAATAGAGTAGTCCTAAAACGAGCTGGCATTTTTAGCATGCCTTACTGAAACAGTGATGTCTACATTGGCTTGGGGATCTACTGAGAATGGCTGATGGTCAGATTCCAAAAGATCTCCTGTATGGAGAATTAGTGCAGGGAAATTGCCCCAGAGGGAGACCACAGCTGCAATACAAGGATATCTGCAAGTGGGATCTGAAGGCCTTAGGAATTGACCTCAACAGATGGGAAACCTTGACATCTGAGCGTTCAGCCTGGAGGCAGGCAGTGCATCATGGCCTCTCCCAATTTGAAGAGACCCTTGTCCAGCAGGCTGAGGCAAAGAGGCAGTCCCGAAACCAGCAAAATCAGGGAGCTGGACAGGGACAGATTGTATTTGTCTTCAGTGTGGAAGGAATTGTCACTCTCAAATTGGCCTTCTCAGCCACACTAGACGCTGTTCCAAGTCCTCTATTCAGAGCACGTTACCATAGTCTCTCGAGACTGAAGAATGCCTAATCTTAAAAAAAATCTAATGTATGGTATGTACGTACTTACTTTTTTACTTGACTTTTATACTGCCCATCTGACCAAACGCCTATCTGGGTTGTTTGGAACATTAAAAATATCAGTAACAGTAATAACACAACATAACTAGAAATTCAAAATGAAAACAAAATTTATAATTAATTTTAAAATACTTCAGCCTTCCTCCCTAAAGAGTTGTTAGCACACTGGATACTTATAATGTGACATCAGTTATTTTCTACATATGCATTTATTGATAAAGTATCTGTTTCGGAGTATTGCAGAGTACAGGTATCTGAAACAAGGACATGACTATTGCTATTATAATTATTTATACTGTGCATTTTTCCCAATGATTTCAAGATGGTAGACATTCTTCTCTTCCTTATCACTCAGTTATCTTAATAACCCTGTGAGGCAAGTCAGACTCAAAGACAATGACTGGTCCAAGATCTCCCAGTGAAATTTATGTGACTAGAACCAGGATCTCCCAAGTATTGGTCCTGCATTCTAATCACCACTGTAACTGTTCTCTATATCCTAGCTATTTGGTAATATTTTGATTTGGTTTTCAAACTTAACCACAAGAAAATATCATGCCACGCTCTGGCATTATGATTTAGCCACTTAGACTGATGGTTAAAAATGAATAGGCCATTAATCTGCCATACACTAACAGACAAAAATTAATATGCCATAAAATAATAGGCTAATACATGGGATATGTTATTTTTGCCATTTTGAATGCTAACCAACAGACAAAACTGACAAACTCATCTAGGCTATGCCCAGATTGCTAGGCAGAGAGGAAAGCTGCCTTAGAAAAGTGGTTAAAAATTAGAATGTAGATGAGATATACATCCAGATTCTCACTGTCTATAGGTGGTTTTATTCTCCTGACCCCTCCCAATATGTTCCCTGAAACAAGAAATAATGATAGAATTCCTGCTTCCAAAATTTCAGGAAAAACAATAGTCATATGGTACCTTAAAGGCTTAACCAGTTTTATTGGGTATCAGCTATTGTGGATTGCAACCATATTCATACCATTGATGATGCAGGCTGTAGCCCCCAAAGTTTATGCCAGAAAGTATGTCTGCAGAATTTTTGTGAGGATGGGGGGAAGATTTGTTATTATGTACCATCAAATCAATTCCAAGTTAATGGTGATCCTGTATAGTAGTATGTTAGCATAATTGGTGTGCATAGTGCATACCACTGCAACACACTGCATCCATGTCTGAATGTTAAAGTAATTAATTAATTTTGCATTCTGGGGAAATGCCCTCTTACCTCCCAGCCATGAACAAAATAAAATAAATTAGGCTTTAGAGGCCACAAAATTCTTTGTTATTTTTGTTGCAGGAAACTATCATAGCTACCCCACGCCACCCTAAGGAAAAACAGTGGTTACATAACAGGATTCTAGAAGCACTTGAAACTTCCAAAAATAATGACAGGATCACTAACCAAACTGCTCAGGCAGTGAGAATACAGTGTTGTGAAGCTGACAAGGCACAACTCTTACCGCCATCTGCAGTTTCTTTCTTGCACTGGCCACAGCGTGGCAGCACTTCACCAAATACGACTTCTGTTTTCATCCAAACCTCAATACTGTTTTTAACCGAAAAGGCCAAGGTGGGGGGGTTGAAGTCTGGGCGGAACTGCAAGTGTAAAGTACAGCACATGCTTTAAACAGTATCTTAACCTGGTGTTTCTAAATGTAGGCGGATGTGAGAGAGAACTACATAGCTGTGTATACAAATCTGTCTTTCTGATTGACTAATTAATCTTGACATGCACAATAGGTCCTGCTCAGTTCCAGATTCATGTTTGTGAAACGAAGATGGGCTCAGAACACTAGCAATGGTAAAACACTTTGGCAGATGTGGTTCAGAAAAACTACTGGCATGATAAAGGTTAAGTCAGTCTCCATCAAGGTGTTGTCTTCCATATGTGTGTTGGACTACAGCTATCATTTTTTTAAAAATCTAATTTTCCAAGCTTGTCATGGTGTGCATTTATTAAAGTATAGAAAGAGGATCACTGTTCTTATTGTTGCACCTCCCATTAAGTACGTACTGAAATTGTGATGAGAACATGAAGCAGACTGCAGGTTAAAGTAATAATCTTGTGTTCTGGTTTGCTACCTTAATCACTTTTCCTTGTCTACAGATAACCATGTTGAGGATCTAGTAATAGGTTCTGCAGAAACTCTAAACTGTTGCTAGAGGTAATTTTCTTTGCAATGCACAGCCCATCTGCAGTTCTTCCCCTCAAACAAAGATGTCTGTGAATGGCATATAACTAATAGATTAAATTGTGCTAAGAGCTGCAACCAGGAAAATCATGCACAAGCCAGCTTGCAGCTCTTGGAGCATGTATAGGCATGTCTAATCTGACAGCTGCACCCTGGTAACTATGGAATGGTGCAATAGATTATAGCATATATTCCTTGAATGACAAGCTGTTTCACTGACACATTTAAAATATTGTTGCTTCATATGGCCTCTTGCGTTGCTTACAGCCTTGGGCCAGTTGTGGTCATGAGGGAAAGGTGTATTCCACATGCCTGAGAAACCTTACCCAGTGTGACCAGAAAATGTAATCCATGGAAGTGAAAGACAAATGTTTATAAACAGTTATGTAGGAACTTTGCTTTGTATGTGCTTATAAAGCATCAGTATGATGACTGCTTCATTTATGAGCTGACACAAAAACTGAGCTCACCACTAGAAATAATTTGAAAATGGTCTAAAAACTTTGGGGACATGAAGGAATGTTGAGGCTGATTGACCACAAGGACGTTTGGATCCAGGCTATTAGCTTAGACTACCGTAGTTACGGAAAAAAGCATGCTTCCAAATATCAAAAGGTAATGCAAATTAGGCCAGAGTCATGGGCCTATTGGCCTTAGCCAAAGCAGAAGTTACTCTAAAATTACATATAAATAAATGCAGAGGACAACAATTAACCACAACATGTTTAATTATTCCTTAACAACAGTAAGGGACAGTATGTTTTGCAGATTCACATTTACAAACAAGTTGGCAAAAAGAAAATATCCAGTGTAATTTTTAGCCTATTTTACAGCCCAGGGAGGAAAGCATTAATACAAAACAATCCATCTATGCTGTGTGTTACACCTAAGTGCTGTTGGTGGAAGTGAATTTTATTCATTATCCATTATGGAACTGGTTGCAGTATTTAAGCCTAGAAAACCTGTGTCTTCGGGGACCATCCTAAAACAAATAGAATAAAACTTTTATTGTTTTTAGAAGTGGGAGGGCAAAAGTCACAGTGTATTTGCTCAATATTTCCAATTTTTGAAAGAAATATTTGTGCAACATGTAATAATCCTAATGCTTAGCTATGAACAAAACTGAGCTACCAAAGTTCAAAGCCTGCTGTTTCTGATATGAGCTTTGTATGAAACAGAAAAAACTATTTTATGTTTTATTTTGTAACAGAAACAGACTCTTGTTCTACCAAGCCTACAAAATATCGAGGGTTAAGAGCTTTTTTAACTGAATGTTTTAACACTACGTCGTATGCATTTTTAGGCAGATGTCAGTCCTACTTAATTCAACAAGTTATTCTCCCAAATAAATATTTATAAGATTCCAATTCTAATCATCTGGCAAAAAGATTAAGGTCCAATTTCAGATTTTAGCTACAGAGGACTTGCCAAAGTCTGGTAGAGGAGCCTATTTGAACAGCACCCAGCTCCTCAGGAATCTTGGGCTGATCTACTTCATTAAATGCAGCTGTCATTAAAAAAAAAAAGGGGGGGGGAGAGTACAGGACATTCTCAACATGTCACAGTAAATGCCTGAATTCTGGGCTCAGCTCAGGCTCAAAATATGCATTATGGGCAGATGTGTGGACACTGGCCACATCTCCCTGGTAACATATAGTTGAAAGAATCATGTGATACAATATTGTGGTAGCATTTCTGCAACTGTCCACAAATGTTCAGTGAACTGGAGTGGGAAACATGAAACACAAGCCATCATGTCAACACGTCCTGTTCAGCCCACCCTTAAAAACTCATGCTACTGGGGAGATATGCATATCCACCTAAGTAGCTTGGGTCTCAGAAAATAGCCTTGTTTACTAGAAGTTATTATTCACAAATGATGAAGTCCAGACATCTTGTTACTACAACTGAAAAGAAACTAAATCTCAAAAGACGGCTGGGAAAAGGCACACTATTAAATGAAGAGAAAATAGGGGCGTTGGCATTACCACACAGATCAAATGAAAGGAACTGACCTTACAGCAGAACTGGCTCAAACAGTAGCAACCTCTGACTTTATATAATGAGATGTGATAACTCCTGCTAAAAGTGTCACGGGATCTGGAGGTCAAACAGAAATACACATTCCTCTATTCAACACTAACTAGCAAATACTAATCCATCTCTAAGATTCATTGCATTCTTACTGGCACAGGGGATGTCCAAAGCTCTGACTGTAGAAATGAAAAATTCTGGCTCTGTTTCCAACAGATTACGCCCCTATATGCTATGAACCACCACCATCTTTCGAAGGAATTGAAGCCTGTTAACTCTGTTCTGGTGAAATGGCTATACTTACTTCCCAAATGACTCAGAGGAAAGAATTCTGTAGGTTGCTCTTTCAGGAATCCTATGCAGGTGTTCTAAAACTAAGTAGCTTCAGTACATGAGGAGGGAAGCATACAGAGTCTCCTTCCTTTGCTGTTACTTCCATCACTCCCCATCCATGGAGGTGGCTTTCTGAAGAAGAGGTCCTTCTACATCCTTAGAGGTTCTCAACATGATCAGGAAATCAATGTTCCTCCTGACATGTTCAATTTGTTTGGCTATAGAATTCCTGAATAAGACTACAGAGTTGTGTCAACACTGTGAGAAGAGAAGAAAGCAGTACCAAGCAGAAAGCAGAGCTCATCCATTTAAGCAGCATGTCTCCCAATGACTTGAAAGGGTAGAGACAGCTGCAGCTTTGACAGTGCTTGAGGAAGTTACGTTTTTGAATTATTACTTCCAGAATCAACTGTGCCAGCTAGGAGATACTGGGCCTGAAGTCTCAAAAATATCACATTTTAAAGATCTAAGCTCGGATTTAAAAAATCCCAACATGTGTAAGAAGCATAAAATGGAGTTTAAAGATATACAGTGCTATCCCATTCAAAAGCTTTTCTTATTTAGTATCTTTTTCCCGTTCTATCTATGGATTATGAATTATTATTTCAGAGCAGAAGTAGTGGCTGAAATTGCAACTATGAACAAATCTCTTGGTGTGTTTTTTTGAAAGGGGATGGAGTAGATTTATACCATGGCACTTGTAAAAGGATTGGTTAATCCCTTCTTCCCCTACCCCCATTTTTTCAATTTAAATTAGTTCACTGAAGCTGAAATTAGGGGCAGAGGAAGAAATAAATAACAGGGGCTCCTATTTCCACAACCACCCCTTTTCACAGGTAACAGCACCTTCAGGAGAACAATTACAGTAAGATGTTAGTCTCACACAATATTGATACATCCTCAGCTTAGAAAGAAAGGAAATGTTAATCTCACAAAATTATGGCCATAAATTAAAATTGCCCTCCCAGCAGCTTTTTTTTTACCCAAAAGGGGGGAAAAGTTATGAGGTTGATTATAGATTTCCTGCTTTATGTCTGCTTTGGCCTTCAGTAAGCCTGAGTGGATAACAGAACTCAAAAGAGAGCTATTGAGGTCAGTGGAAGCAGCTGCTTATACTTGCTCCTAGGAGCTTCACAGCCATCGGATACCTGATTTTAGTCTATGCTGCAGCAAGGAAGAGGAAGGCAGCATGAGTTGTAATGTTTGCAGTTCATCAAACAGGGAATGTTCCATTTTAGGAACCATGAACACAAGCTATTTACATTGCTGTGACATAGAGGGACCCAAGGATGTCTACAGTTTTGAGTTCTCTGACCCAAACACAGAAGTAGTACACTGGGATTAAAGGCAGCTTGAGGTTTAAAGTCTTTTTGCAATATGAGCGGAGAAGGAAGGGAGAAACAGTTTCACTTCCGAAATACTCTGCTCTCTCCTAAACTCCAGCCATGGACTCGTTTTGTTTAGGATAGTCTTGCTGTTAAAGTTGCTTGATGCAGCCCTCCAACACTGTTTCCCACTTGGTCCTTTGAATCTGAATGGAGTAATAAAAGTACTCTGCCATGAGGAGAGTCATCGTGGGTCAAAAGCTACAGGCCATCTAGTGCTACAAAACTGAATCTTTGGTAAGACAAATGTCCCTTAAGATTTTTTAAAAAGCAAACAAATGCTGATGGTGAAGGATGCAGCCAACATCATGAATGGCAAAGCTGTCCTGGGATAGCTTTAATCTAAGGTAGGATATGGGCTACAACTGACTGACCAGAAATCCCTTCTCTTGTGGGAGTGAACCTGACTAAGTGAAATATCTGGTCTTCAGCTAATGGCAGCAAAAACCCAGTGTCAGAGAGCAGTTCATTCCCAATAAAGGATTCTACGTTTAATACATAGTGGATTTCCCAGCGTAGTGCAAACAGCCCAATATCCATGCTGTTTATGCAGGGGCTCTGCTTCTGGCAACCTGCATGTCTAGAAAACAATGAATGCAGGTCCTTAGGGATGCCCTCGTCTGGAATCTGGCTCCCTGATTCTTCAAAATCATTTTTAGTGTCATCTCTGACTTCCATGATTATGGGGCCTCGAGTTATCATCACCACTGCCTTAGCTAGGAAACAACTGTTAAAGCAACAGAAACAATCCTAGGAGCCTGGAGACTGTCGAGGAAAAGATCCAAGGCTTTAAAAAGGTAATATTGGCAAGAATCCCTTGTTCCCATCATGCCGTTTTGCCTAAAGCCAATGCATCACACCACTCCTTTGATAAAGCTGGTGTCTAAGTGTACAATTAGCATGCGTAGAAAGGACATCTCTTTGCGGGTATTTTCAAAGATGACCCTGGGGTCATCAGACTGGCATCGCAGACAGTTTGGTGCCATCACCATGGCTAAGTTGTTTACGTCCATCTTAGTCTTGCCCACATTAGTCGGTTGAGCAAAAATCTGCAAAATAAATAAAGAATGAATAAAATAATGGAACAAAGTACAGAAGACGGCTGATTGCACTCTGGCAGATTTAGTTTTCCTAGCCTTACAAAGAATCACATACTCACTCTACAGCTGACAGACTTTGTGAGCTGAAGGATGGGATACAATGGGATTATTATGGCCAGCCATCAGATCATGCAATGAAGACTGCTTTCAGTGTATATTAAAAGGAATGCAGACTGAATCTTGAGACTGCTCTCTGTGTGGAGTATGATGAAGCAGCCAAAGACACAAGAGCCATCACATGGAAAAAGATGCCCCTTTAATACCTATATACCTGCAAGAAGTGGATGAGATAACACAAGACCAATCTATTCAGCTCTGGCAGGAGCTCCACGACTGCTACAGCTGCATCAGGGTTCTCATAGTTGCTGATACACTCTTTGTAGAAATGTTGTGGAATGACAGGCTCTTCCAGCTCCCGGTACCATAGCTTCAGCAAAGATGCTTTAAGAATTAGAAGGGAAAAAAGAATCATTTTCAACAATACAGGAATATGAGAGAAGCTTTCCATCTTGAGAATCTCTATGACATTTGACAAGTGTTCACCAGTCTAGAGTGCATCTTGAGCTGAAGAAGGATACAACCATCCTTTCTCCACCTCACACTGAACTAGACCATGAATCTGGTTCTTTCTCACAGGCAAGCCAGAACCAACTAATTTCTTATACCCTGAAGAAAATAAGTTAGGACAGCTATTGTTCTTGGCTTTGGAAACAAATCCTAAAACTCTGCAGCAGCTGAGATATAAGCAATTTAACACAGAAGCAGAACACAGATTCAGTAGAGAGAGCTCTGTTTAAATTCTCCATCTGAATATCAGAACAGCTGCTCTGAACACAGCTATATAGGTTATCCATACCTGGTATATTTGGATCAACAAGGTTGTTAGGAATTTTCCACTGATCCACCTGTAGCTTTAGTGCATTGACTTCATCAATGTCACCAGGAATTCTGCAAGGAGACAACATGGGCCATCAATAAAGTCCAGTTAAAAAAGGACAAAATATCCAGAAATTGGAAGCATCAAAATGAATGGAACTACAGATATTCATTGTAGCACTTCTGACAAGTAGACACAGAGCTGTTTGATAGGCATGAATTAGGAACTGCACACGAAGCTGCAGTGAAGGACTTTCTTCAAGATTTCAGTCAGCCATTTTGTCTTTCCTCTATAGTGTCTCTCTTTCTACAAATGTATTTTTATTACTTGTTTCCAGATGTGATTCCTGGCGAGGAATCTTCAGGACAGAATGCAGTTTTTTAAAATTAAAAAACCCTCAAACAATAGATACTTACCTTATTACCACTATTCCTTGCTTTCATAAAGCCCCAGGCTGGGGTAATAACTTTTCTATGTTAGAGAGAGAGGAATGGGCACTGTGATGGCATTCACATGTATTTTTCAGTGACTTCCTCTTTCCAGTCCTGGGAAGAGGAAGTCACAGAAAACATGTATGCTAAACTGCTGAGGGGATATTCAAATGCATTGCAATTTCCTATCTTCTATGAAGCTACTTTGAACCTTGCAGAGAAAGCCTGTGATAGCGCCATCATTATTGCCAAGAAATTGCCAAGAACTACCCTGCCTTAGAAGGAACCGTGTAGTGCAGTAGTTAAACTGCCGTACTGCAGTGAAGACTCTGCTCACAACCTGAGTTCAATGGGCTCAGGAAGCCGGCTTGAGGATGACTCAGTCTTCCAGCCTTCCAAGGTCAGTAAACCGAATACCCAGCTGGGGTGAGGCAATGTGTAGCCATTATAATTAAACTGTGAACTACAGTACTCAGAGAGTGCTTTAAGCACTATGGGGTGATACATAAACATCACAATTTGCTTTTTTTTGCTTTATCCAATGGAAATAAATGTTTTCACAAGAAATGTTCACAAGAGATGTTTGTATTTCTGTAAATTTAAAGAGTGTGCATCCAAATTTTGTTTCTGTGTGCCAAAGGACTAATAGCTTCCTTTTGTTTTAAAACAGCCCATCAAGATGGGAGTGCTGGCCTTAAACTAAAATGAGGATGATCACTACTTTATTCCCAGCCATTCAGGAGCAATGGCTGATGCTTAAAGTACACCAGAGCTTACAGCTCCTCAAATTTCAGATAATAATAATTATATTGCTGGAAACAATGGACAGACTCTGCAGCACATCCATTACTGCATATCAATCTGCTTTGGAGTACACTCATAGGTCTTAGCATGAGATAACCTGTTTAGAAGCAAATGAGCAGATGTACACATTTCCATAGGCTTCACAAATCTCCTGCTGTGGTGCAGATGTTATTTTCTCTATTGGAATTGTTTGCATCACTGAGTCTTGAGAAGATGCTGTTCCATTTGGGCTTGATGGAAAAATCTCATGTGTCCAAATACAGGTTAGTTATACTGTGCTCATAGCACCAGTAATGAATAATTTAAATAACACTAGTAAGCCAAGCCCACCTGAATATCCCCTCAGTCTGTTCTCCACCAAGTTCTAGAACCTGCTGAGACAGCTGAGTCTGTGCCCAGGGTAGCTTGTTATCAGGATACATGTCCTGCTGCCGTAGCATGATTTCCTCCAGAGAGCTGCCAAACAATGACGGCGTCACAATTGCGTTCCGAGCATGTGTGATCTCCTCAATTGTAGGCTTCCGGAGGCCCTGTAAACAACACAAAAAAACAGTAGATTTGCAATGGTGAGATGCCAAGTGAAGAGAAACTAGGTAGTAATTCATCTTAGATGGAATAACAAAGTTCTCCTGGAAACAAAGATGGAAATTTCAAAGACAAAAACCTCTGAAGTTACAGCGAGGGAAGGAAAAGGGCAAAAAAGCAGGGTGTCATTTTCTACAGCAGTGAACAGTCTGAGGCCTACATTTCTAGAGGACAGAATAACTTCTAGATTGTATCTTCCTGGAATGTTGAACTTGCTGCTAACGACCAGTTAGAATTAAATTTATGAATAAAGCAAAAAAATCTAACTTGGTAACTTGAGTTCATTTAACAAGCCCTGAGTTCTTATGTTCCCCATGTGCATCTTTTGGCACTGCCAAGATGAAAAGGAGTTTCGAAGGTAGCAGCTTTTAATACTCAGTTTTTGAAGATTTGAAAAGGCCAAGGGCTTAAAGCAGCTTCAAAGGGACAGGTCTTCTGGCGCAGTGGTTAAATCACTGTACTGCAGCTAAAACTATGCTCACGACCTGTGGTTCAATCCCAGGTAGCCGGCTCAAGGTTGACTCAGCCTTCTCCCCTGCCGAGGTAGGTAAAATGAGTACCCAGCTTACTGGGGGGGGGGGACAATGTGTAGCCTACATAATTAACTTGTAAACCGCCCAGAGAGTGCTTGAAGCGCTATGGGGCGGTATATAAGCAGCAGGCTTTGCTTTTTGTCAAGGACACTGTGTGTGGGGATAACAAAGAGTTAATGTCTTTCTTTCCATTTTCTGAATCCTCAGTGCTGATTGGTTGGAACAATTATTTACCATCTTTTAAAAATAATACACAAAATTAAATATCACATACTGTATTTTATACCACACATAGTCAAGATAATTAACCTCTTCAGAAGAGAAATTAAGAGTGTAGCTTACAGATCCATTCTCATCAGATTTAAATCTTCTACACAGAAAAATATTTGGTCCTATCTCTAGAGCAGTTCTCCCCAACCTTTTCTGAACTGAGGACCGACTGGGGGGGGTGTCCGTGGGAGGGCAACCCCCTGTTCGCAGGTGGGTGTGGCACATTCACAGGTGGGCGTGGCACACTCACATGCATGCGCAGATGGGCGTGGCAGGGGAGTGGGGTGCACTCATGAGCATGCGTGGCATGCTCGCAGGTGGGCGGGACATGCATGTACACAGCGCACTTGCAGATGAGCAGGGTGCACTTGTGCGCATGTGTGGGTGGGCGGGCCACCCATGCGTGCATGTGGGCGTGTTGGGGGGATGGGAGAGCTGTGTCCGCGGCCCGGTTCTGCAAAGGTCACAGACCAGCAGCAGGCTGCAGACCAGGGGTTGGGGACCTCTGTATATATAATTATTATCATTAAATGCCATTAAGTCGATTCTGAGTTATGCCAAAGGTTTTCTAGGTATAAAGTACTGAGAGTGGTTTACCAGTCCCTCCTTTTCATGGCACTCTGGGACTGTGCAGCTTGCCCAAGATCACACAGGTGTAACTCTATGGGTTGGAGTGCCTGACTGTGGAACATGGGGTCAGGAATTCAAATCCCCACTGTGCATTCTAAGAGAATGGCCAGCTGAGCCACCAGCGTGTGTGTGGTTGATGGAGGGCATTCATATACTTCCAATATATTTGATGTTTTCCTAATATGAATCTAAAATGAGGAGAAAATAGAAGGTCCCAAGGCCTCTCCCAAAAATATCCAGAAAATTCAGTGGTAAATTATCTATGCTAGATACATGTTTTCTTACGAAAAGGCATGGTGTGACAACCCCAGACCTACTGGAGTATACCACCCTTTAATTATGCTGCCACCAACCATTCCCTATAAGAAGTCACACAGACCAGGAATGGATTTTACTAAACAAAAGCTCCAAATATATATACAGTACAGCACCTCCCCCCTGATGTCCCGCCTTCCACTCCCCATAGGATGGAACTTTCCCTCCAAACCCATGACAGACAGGTACCATCAGTGCTGTATGTGACACATGGTTTTCCAGAACTTTTTTTTCCAGACAGGTAAGTTGTTCACATAAAGACAGAGTAAATGTTTTTACATGAACAGATTACCAGTCCATCAAGGTCCTAATAAGGCAAGTTCGGGTTGTTTTAAAGGTTTCTGTAAGCTGCGGCAAAGACTAAGCCACACTGAAGGCCCACCTGCTGTATCCAGGTGGAAAAAACAGCACTGCAACTAGGCTGCTCCAAAGGCCTGCACAGGTTACAGGCAGTGGGTAGGGAACCCATACACTTGAACACGATGCACTACATCAAAGGCTTACACCTGGCTCGACACCAAGACCCAGGGATCAGGCTCCATTTTAAATATAAAGTATCCCCTTGCATTCCTGATAAAACACTACCAAGAAGTGTACATGGAGTTAGAGAAAATGAAAGAGGCAGAAGGAAGGGTAACACCAAGCATATGAGGCCTGAGCTCCACCCTGATATTTGGTATAATAGTGCTACCCTCTGACATCATCCTGCCTTTGTTCCCTTTTATGTATTCCCCATTGAAGCCTTCCAATCCAGAGCAAGAGGGATGATATTACGTAAACAGATTACCAGGCTATTCCCCATCTGACTGTCAAGAGCAGCTTTCTACTCATTTGTTATAGGAATATTCAAGATAGATAAAAAACAATGTATTTCTTCTCCACAGACTATCCTGTCATAAAAAAGTAAACAATTCTCCTACAGACTGGAGTATTTGAACGAATGCTTGCACCTTTCCAAGCCATGATCCTTATTACCAAAATAATGGCAACAGCAGTAAAGAGCCATATGTGAAAAATATGAGAAAAGAGATACTTAATCTGAATTTCATGGCTGACTTACCTTTTTACCTCCAGTGACTGCAACCTTTTGCAGCTTTCGGTAACAATATCTGGCATAAGTGCTGATAGGCAGGCCTAGCAGACAGAGATGGATAAATTAATCAGTTTTAAAATGTCACTGGAGAATTTCAGAGAGCAGAAAATGATTCCATAACACACATTTCTGGAGATTCATTCTAACTGATTGTGTCTTGTCTTTCTCAGAAAATGATACAGTAAATACTCTTCGGCCTTATTACAGTTTTACTGTGCAATAAATGAGGACTTCTTGTGGTAGGTTCAGACACCTTTTCCCAAAACAACACTTCTGCGGAATTGTTAGCGTGATTTTCTTAGCATTTCAAACAGTCTTCTTAACCATTACATTGTTTACAGTTTTGACTGTTATCAGAAGACACAATTTTATTATATTTAGGTTCATGAAATTTAATTGCATGAATGTATTTAAAATAATTTTTAAATTTAACTTATTTTCAATGCTGGAGAATGGAAGTAAAAATTCTGAGCTACATCAGTAGTGCAACTCTCTTCCCCAAAAGAATGTTGTACATTTTGTGGAGTATTTCCTCCCTTAAACTATATATTGTCCTTCTTTAGCACAACCCCTTCCCCGCCCGCCCCCCATTTAAAAGAAAACTGAAGTAGCAAACAGACTTCTTTTTACATTATGTTGGGACACGTTGCAGTACATGTTACAGTCTAGCTTTAATATGAAACCTATGTTTATTGTTCCCTAGAAAACCCCCAGAATGAGCAGATACATATCATGGTCTATGGCAGGGGTTTCCAAACTTTTGAGCTTGAGGGCACATCATATATTTTTCAGATTTTTGAGGGCCAAACTTTATTGTTCCCTAGAAAACCCCGCAGATACATATCATGGTCTATAGCAGGGGTTTCCAATCTTTTGAGCTTGAGAGCACATCATATATTTTTGACGTTTTTGAGGGCCAAAGGAACATGCTTATGTTTGGGCTGAAGGGAACAGGCCAGATAAAATGGCAAGGCGGGCCAGATGTGGCCCGCGGGGTGTAGTTTGGAGACCCCTGGTCTATGGGAATGGAGTTGAAGGGGTCTTACTCTGTCCCACCCCAGCATAGATAATCACTTATGCTTATAACTCAATTTTTGACCAGATTTACGCGATCTTTTAGAGGCACCACTTGCTGGAAATGGTGACCTTGTAATTTCCTTGGATTTGTTTTCCAAGCGGAGTAAGTTTCAATGCAATTCACAACTCCCTATCCCTCTCTTCAATGACACAGAAGAGCTCTCGAATCTGAATGCCCCTTATTGCTTACTGTTAAGGAAAGTGAAAGAATGAAGTGCCAAAGAAGGGCTGCAGCTGAACATTAAGAAGATGAAAATCATGACTACAGAAGAACTGCACAATATTAATGGTGACAATGAAGAAATTGAAATAGTGAATGATTTTGTATAGTTTAGCCCAACCATCAATCCAAATGGCAACTACAGGCAAGAAATCAGAGGAAACAGACTTGGTAGGGCAGGAATGAAGGCATTAGAAAAGGTCATCAAGTGTAAGCATGTGTCACTGGAGACCAAGACCACACCTTTATATTTCCGATCACCATGTACGGGCGTGAAAGTGGGACACTTAAGAAAGCTGAAAGGAAAAACATTGATTTATTTGAAATATGGTCCTGGAGGAGAGCTAGGTCCTCAATCAAATCAATCCTGCAAAAATGATGAAACTTAGGTTATCCTTCCTTGGGCACATCATGAGAAGACAGGATTCTTTGGAAAAGACAATAATGCTGAGAAAGGTAAAAGACAGAAAGAAAAGAAAAATACAAAACATGAGATGGACTGACGCCCTAAAGGAATCCACAGGCTTGAATTTACATGAGCTGAGCATCGCAGTTGAAAACATGACATTCTGGAGATTGCTAATTCATACTGCTGTCATAAGTTGAAGGTGACTTGATGGCACATAACAACATTATGGATGGTTATTGGACATGACTAGGCATGGGGACATATAAAAAAACAAATTGTGATATTGGTAATATTTAGCTGATTTGTGGGATATTCATCCCTTTGTATTTGTCAGGTCTGGAGACCATGACAAATACAGAGGGATGAAGATTTACCAATTTTGATTTGTCCCTTCCTGGAGGCAGACTGCAGAACGATCAGCTGATTGGCAGGACACTGACAAGCAGTCTGGCTTTGGGAAGGCAAACTCTGGTTTCTGTTTGTAGCCAGCCTGCTTGTCAATGTCCCAAGGATCAGCTGATGGTTGGGTCATTGACAAGCAGAATGGCTACCAGAAGGCAAAATCCTGGTTCCCTTAAGCAGACACATTGCTTGTCAATGACTGGATATCAGCTGATGGTTGGGTCGATGACAAGCAAGCTGGCTGTGGAAAAGCAAACCTCTGGGTTCAGTTTCTGCAGCCAGCCTGCTTGTCAGTGACTTGTCCATCAGCTGACCGTCAGATCATTGACAAGCAAGCTGGCTGCTGGAACTGAAACTGGTTCCATTCCCGCAGCCAGCCTGCTTGTCAATGTGCCACTGATCAGCTGTTCAGTGGGACATTGTGTTTTAAGGACGAATCAACAAATATTTGTTGATTCATTGCTAAAAATTGGTGCTTCTTCACTTTGTCCATTTGTCAACTTTGATGAATGACAAATCCTGACAAGGCACATTTTTTCTGATTTGTCCCCATCTCTAGTCATGTCTATTGTATGTTACCTAGAGAAACATAAGTATTATGCTTCAGAATACCAGTTACTGGGAAAAACAGTGTGAATGTGTTATTCTCCTAATTTCCTGTCTATGAGTTTTCCAAAGGCATCTGGCATGCAGCTGTGGGAACAGGATTCTGGACTAGATAGGCATGTGGTCTGATGCAGTAGAGTTCTTCTTATGTTCTTATGCCAGTAATATAGTTTATTATATTTTAGCCATTACTAAGAGTGTCATGGGACATTTTGTCTCATATGCATTTTCTAGGGCTAGAGTTTGTACATCTTTTCCAGATGAAAACAGAAAAGCAGAACCAGAGACGTCAGACTGCAGTGTATGACATTATGTTAAATGCCCAACACATTCATATAAAGAGCACCTGCTTAGATAGAAAAACATTCCCAAGTACTGTATAGAGGTGCCTTGTGGCCATCTGAAACATGGTAACAGAAGATTTCTGTAGATTCTGTGAATTATGAAACACTGTTTGAATATATGTGAGCTCTTTTAAAAGGAAATGAGTTGCCCAGTGGGGAAAAAAAGCTCTCTTGGCACCAGGTAGGATGGTTAGAGGGCACTTCCTATCCAATTAACTTTGTTTTTTTACAAATTAGTATCAGCTATCAGACTTAATTCTGCATGCAGAGAAAGGGAAAAAGACACAATCAATCATAAACACACACACAAAGAGAAATAAAAAACAGGACCAAATGAATCTTTCTTGGGGTCAGGAGCCACTGATCAACTAATTCCATCTAGCTGTATGATTCAGATTGCTCTACAAATGACTATAAGCCTTTGCATGTTTATTTGAAAATATGTTATATCAAAATGACTACAGTGGTGCCTCGCATAGCGACGTTAATTCGTTCCGGAGAAATAGCTGCAGAACGAAAACGTCGCTATGCAATATTAAAAAGCCCATAGAAATGCATTAAAACGCGATTAATGCGTTCCTATGGGCTTAAAACTCACCTTTAAGTGAAGATCCTCCATAGTGCCGCCATTTTCAGTGCCTCTAAAGCGAGGAATCCATGTGAAAACACAGCGGGTGGCCATTTTGTTTACCCGGCGGCCATTCTGAAACTGCCGATCAGCTGTGCGAAAATGGGCGCTTTGCGATGATTGCAGGGAACCGATCATCGCAAAGCAAAATTCCCCCATAGGGAACATCGCAAAGCGATAGGTTTTGTGATCGCAAAAAATGCATCGCTAAGCGACTTCGTAGTAAAACGGAGCGATCTCTAAGTGAGGCACCACTGTATAAACATGGTAAGGATACCATTCTAAGCCGCCTAGAGTGGTCACAATGACCAGATAGGCGGGATATAAATAGAATAAATAAATAAAATAAATAAGTAACGCTGTGTATATTTTTTTGTAAACCAGCAACAATTTTCAATTTTTCTCAATTTCTGAACTGCTGATGCTCACACAAATCCTGGATTTGATTTTTCTGCTATAAAGCATATATAACTATACTTGCAATCAACAGTACAAATAGACATACTGTATAGTAATTGTGTTTCTTCTTTATAACCTCCCTCAGAATCCAATTCTTTTTACCTTCCTCCTCTGTGTTTTGCTTCCTCTTTTTCCTGGATTTTGAATTCTTTTTGTTTTTCAGATCCAGAAGCTCCTTAATGCGCTGGGTAACTGAAAATCCAAAGCATCATTGACTGAGTGATGGCAAAACATATTCACTGGCCTCTTCCACTTTTACTGAGCATAGCAGAAGATAAGTATTCAAATATCAAAAATCAGCTCCCTTAATGATTTCTATATGTTTGCATTACATGAGCCCTTTTATCTGCAGGACTATGGGTTAGTAAACCAAGTGCCATGTAAATTCAGTAAACCACCAGGGAATACAGTACTTGTAATTTAAAACATAGGTCAGAGACCTACTGGTGATTTACACTTGCATAAGGGAAACAGTGGCAAATTGCTGGTCATTAATGAGGCGCTGGTTGCATTCCTGGGCACATGCCCAATCACACAGTTTTTGGTCATGTTCCCAGGAGCACTACCAGCTCCTGCTCCATCATACTTGTTCCAGTGGGCTGGAAAATGCTCTGGTTCTGATTTTCAGGTAGCACAGAGGAGTATGTAGGTGGAATAAGATAGAAAGACTATTTGCATTGACTTGGACAATACTAGATTTAACTCCATGACTTTGTAATAACATATGTTGATATTAAGAAGAGGTTGCTTTCTTAACTAACTGATGAATAATTTTTACTTATTTCTTTTCAGTAACTTTCAGAGAAACCCTCTTGCACTGAAAAAATTATTTACCCCTTTCTCCAGTACTTAATTTAGAGAATGCAGAAGTTCTTAGTACCTCTCAGCAAAAGACAAAATCCTGTTGCTTAGTATAGTAAATCACACTAGAGTAGGACTAGATGGGATTTAGAGAATTAACTTCTCTATAAATTTCATTGATTTGAATGTGCCTACTCTAACCATGCCTTACTATACAAATGTTACAGTCAGAGTAGGCGCATTTGAATCCATGAAACTTGTGTAGAAATTGAATCACCAAATTACCACTGATTCAACTACTTTAGTACGATTTACTACACTACACAATAGGATTTTGGTCAAAATTAACTCAAGCTCCCAAATTTATTTCCTGACACATAAAGCAACAGATCTGGCCATTTTCTTATTAGATGGGATCTGAAAAAAATCATATGTGTGATGAAAATTACTGTATTTACATTTGCTTATTTGGAAATTGGCTTAGAATCTTTGATGAAGTTGTGAAGGAAAATGGGTATACCTCTATTTGTTGCTTCAATTACAAAACTAAATAAATGGTTTAATTAAATTGACCAAATTCTCTTGCACTAGGTTATGCTGGTACAGTGGTGCCCCGCATAGCAACGTTAATCCGTTCCAGGATTAACGTCGCTATCCGGAATCGTCGCTAAACGGAAAGAAAAACCCCATAGGAACGCTTTAAACTCCATTTAATGCGTTCCTATGGGGGGAAAACTCACAGTTGAGCGAAGATCCTCCATAGCGCTGCCATTTTCGCTGCCTTGGTAAGCGAGGGCAGCGCGCGAAAATGCTGTGGGTGGCCATTTTGTGCACCCGGCGGCCATTTTGGAACCGCCGATCAGCTGTTTAAAAAAACATCGCAATGCGGAGATCGGTAAGCAAAACGCTTACCGATCATCGCAATGCGATTTTCAGCCATTTAGATCATCGCAATGCGATTGCAAAAAACGTGTCGTTATGCGAATTCATCGTTAAATGGTGCACTCGTTATGCGAGGCACCACTGTATAAGGGAAGTTATATCAGATGCAAGGACAGATTGCCATAAATTGCTGGTCTGACTCCAGATTATGTACAAATTAATCAGAATCATGTGCAATGAGATTATGTTTAAGGTGCATCTAATCGAAGCAAGGAATCTTAATTAGTAGCAATCAGCCACTACAGGTGACATCATTTCCCTTGCACCTGCATCAATACTGCAAGAGGATTTTGGCTACCTAATCAGAAGTGGAAACTTTGTAATTATTTCTAATTGCAGGAAAAATCCCTCAAAACACTGCAAAGATGTTTTTTAACTTATCTGATGCCCATGAGAAGATGGAAATGTGCTTCGTACAAAAAGAGTCAAGTAGCTCTTTGAAACATAGGCTTCTGTTTCATTGATTAACGCTTATTATATTTTACTTTAAATAGAGGATAAAAGGAGGAAATATTTGGTTTTAATCCTGCTGGATGTTTTTTTAGCTCCTTTGCCATGAGAACTTTGTTACTTTTACCTTGGCCTGTCAAAATTATTCCTCATTTGCACAGCCTAATATTTCAAATTGATAATAAAATATGTTTTTATATACATTCTCTTGTAGACAGACATTAATCAGGAACTGAAGCAGCTCCTAATCCTTCTGGACAGGATTATAACTTGTTTTGTATTTGATGCTGTACTGCAATGCATTTTACCCTTGTCAGATTAGAAACTTACTGTTTTCATCATTGACCTGGCTGAGATGACGGTAGATATAACCTTCCAAATATGACTGAAACTTGGGTGATGGGGAAAAAAAGGCCAGACTGATGGCCATGAGTTCCCACCCCCATGCCAGGCTTCGGTAGCACAAATTGTCTGTTGTTTGTCTGATTAGTTGTATATACAACTCATCTCGTAAACCTTGAATACTCCAGCATTTGGTGACAGCAATCAAAGCCACATTGTCTCGGTCCATCCTTGCTTGCCGATCACCCATGTAGATTTGTACCAGTTTAAATATTTCACAAGCTTCCTTTTTGATGGTGTGGTTGCTGGTGATGAGCATTGGCTTTTTGATGGAGCCACCATTCCAGGACAGCATGTTGGCAATAGAGAGTCTTCGACGAAAGATACCTTGAGTGTGCATGTTTAGGTTTTTGGAAGCCCAGTCAGCCATGCTACTTTGAGAGATTGGCTTCCGTATGGTATGAAAGGGAAACTGATATCCCATATTGGTGCTACGCTGGTCATTGTTATCCTGCTGGGATTCAGACCGTATGGTTCCAGACTGCGAGAGAGAACAGACAGAAAATTATGAGAAAATCATCTCCACTCCCTTTTTCCAGAGCGGAATAGCGAACAACCAGTCTTTCCTGAAAGAGGGAAAATAATTAAATTCCAGTATCTACCCAGTTTAAGAAAGCCAAAAGCTTAAAATGTACAAAATAGGAATTAAGCTGTTAGCTTTTCTAATGCTGTTAAATTCCCACCATCTTCACTTCATGTCCATCTGTTTGTTTTATCCATTTGTTACCATTTGTAACATTTGTTTTATCCATTTCCTGCCCATCAGGGTTTGTAAAGCAATGTGCAATAGATAGAACAGAATGAATAAAGAAAAATATAAAACATCACTAAGATTCTAACAAATCTCAGAAGTATTCGCGAAGGCTTTCATGGCCGGGATCTAATGGTTGTTGTGGGTTTTTCGGGCTTCTTGGCTGTGTTCTGAAGGTGGTTCTTCCTAACGTTTCGCCAGTCTCTGTGGCCGGCATCTTCAGAGGACAGCAAACTGTTTGCTGTCCTCTGAAGATGCCGGCCACAGAGACTGGCGAAACGTTAGGAAGAACCACCTTCAGAACACGGCTAAGAAGCCCGAAAAACCCACAACAACCAAATCTCAGAAGCTTCAATTCTCCCTCTAACAGAGCCATTCTTATATATCTGTGTACTGAAGGTTGACACGGAAATTCTACATACTGATATCAATACAGTACAGTAATTTCTTTCTATCTCCTTTGATTATGATGGACTTTGTGTAGTGCAAAAAATGACTTTACACCACAAATAATTTTAGCATAAAGCAGAGATATAAAGGTAATCAATTTGAGGAAGGACTTTCAGACTTGTCTTGAATAGCAAACTATGCATATATGCTTATCAACTTATGAAACTTTGCAACAGAAGGATGGCATTCCATCCTTCTGTTACAAAAACACTACTCAGAACAACTTGCAACCTTCCAGCACAGGTAAAAAGAAACAGCAGGAGTAGTACACAAACTCAGAGAGTAAAGAAAACCTGGAAGCAAGGCTGGCTAAATTTGACTTAACATGAGATAAGGAGCTCAGAGACCAGATGTAGAGGGGGTATTGCAGGCTCATGTAAACTAAAAAGGGACCCATATATTCTTTTGATCATCATTACCTATGAAATTTCTGTCTAGCTGTCTAACAGCATGAAAGATGCAGGAAGGGGTTACTGATTCAGCAGTCTAAAAAAAAGTCATATGTATGTAGCACTAAATAATTTTAATACGGTTACAATGATCTGACCTAATTTTATCTATTTTTGTGATATTCCAATAAATACACCAAAAAAGTCTCTGCTCCACCATCTCTCTGACATCAGAACAATGGAGCCAGTAACTTCCAGAGGATTTACTATCTGCAATATAACAGAATGCCTTACTTCTTAATAATATGCATTATTGTCAACAAATACCTGGGTTGAGATTTGTGCTGTCTCTGATGAAGACAAGTTTATCTGACCAACCACGTTCTTTTCTAAAGAGTCAATTTTTTCATAGGTTCTCTTCTGTCTCACAATATCTTGCTGTACTGTTGGATCATTTGAGAGACTCCCCCTACTGTCCATCCTGGGCCTATATAATGACCTGTTACTAGAAGTCACATCATCTCTCGAGTTCCTGCTATTACATTTTTTCAAGCGTTCTGATTGAAACTTTATTTTATGACCCTCTGGCATAGAAGCATTTTCCAGCGTTTCTGCATCTAAACTACCTTTACTCCCTCTGTTGACTGCTGATCTATTCACCACAGCCCGCATCTCTGCAATCAGCTTGTCATTCAAAGCACTAAGTTCACTGCTACTGCCAACAGAACCAGGCCTTCCCTGGCCTGGCCCTTGTCGCCTTCCTTTTCTCTTTCTCAGGCTTGGGGAAGGACCTGTGGAATAGCCTGAGTCTTGCTGACTTATAAAAGTAGGATACTCTTGAGCTTGGAGACTGTTCTGCCGACAGTGGTGTGCTTCCATATTTTTGAGAACATTTGCTTCTAAGACTTTCCATGACTGCTTGAAGCTGTCTCTGGAATTAAGTTGTCCCAGTTGAGGTTTAGCAACACCATCAAGCACCAGTCCAGCAGAGTGAGGATTTTTGGATGACTCATCAATGTTGACCATATGTTTAATATATTCTCTTCCAACAGGGCTGTATTCTGTCGCAGAGGGATTTCTCACATGCTTCTTCCCAACTTGATGCTGCTGCATACTTGGATGCTGTAATAATTTAATTGGCTGGGGCTTCTTATTTAAGCTATTGCTTGGTGACATCTGTGGTGTTGTCCCATTCACATTTCCACTTCCAGTGTCCATATCTACCGGAGGCTCATCATATATTGGTGAGTCAGTTGATGGCTCATCATATATTGGTGCTGGAGAAGCATATCTGGGAGATGAAGGCTGTGCTGTTCGCGTCTGACTCCCTGAAGACGGCTGATGAGACAGCCCATTAGTCAACACCAAACAAAATCCTCCATTCTCTGTCTTTTTAATTTGCATGGACTGTTTTGTCTCTGAAGCTGCAGTTTTTGGACCTGATGAGTTTGAGGCTATAGATTGAGGCTGGGCATACACAACTGGTTTTGGGTGCAGGGATTTTTGGCTACTTGTTTCTATGCTGCTTTGCATCTGAAGTGAATTGCTTGAGGAAGAATTCACATGTCTCAGACTGTTGACTTTGACAAGCATGGCTGCTTTAGTTCCTGGTAAAGGCTGCCACCGGGTAGGGGTGTCTCTATATAAAAAAGCAAAAACATAATAATGCAAATATGAAAAGCTACCTCCAGATTTAAAACAGAGCCACACCTTTTACCCACATTTGCAAATGAGTTTATTTAACAATTAAATGTACATCCAGAAATGGCACACAAGCAGCTGGTGAAAGTAATAAAAAGATAAAAACAAAAGTGCATACAAATAAATCAGTTAAAAACACTACAATAAAAGAAATAAATGCACAATAACAAAACCAAAACATTGCAAGCAACATAGCTTAAATCCCAAAGGACTGTCTAACTAAAAATATATTTGGGGTACATTCTGATCATGGTACTTTCCACTTATGGAATGCTGCCCCCTCAGAGGAATGACTGACCTTGACATAATCCTGGTTTCAGCACCAAGTTAAAGCATGGCTATTTATCAAAGCCTTCAGAGTTTAAAAGTAGTAGGCTGTGGAGGCTCCCTTACTGTTATTGTTTTTAATATACGTATACTGTTTTTAATGTGTTTAAAATATTTATTTATTTATTTATTTATTTTATATCCTGCCTATCTGGTCGGATTAGGACCACTCTAGGCGGCTAACAACATAAAATAATACAATACATATATATAAAACTATTTTTGCATAGCAGAAATATTAAACAAGATGGGAAAAACAATAGGAAAGGGAAAGAAAAAGGCATCAGGAATTATCTGATGGGAAGGCCTGCCGAAACATCCATGTTTTTAATTTATTTTTAAATATTTAAATATTTAAAATAAACCATTTTTACCTTGTTTTAATTGCTCTACTCTTCTCTGAGATCATAAGATATGGGACAGAATACAAATGTAATATATACACACACACACTTTTGCCTGTCAGCAGAAAGACAATAAAGAAGTAGCCAACCTAGCTGTCCATTGCAGGGAAATCCAGAACCTTGAAATAGCTATAGAAAAGAATCTATGCCCCAACCCTATGTGCCATTAAAGATAGCAAGATTGTAAGAAGGGCTTTCCCTATCAAACTTAAGCCTTGATAGACTTTTATAGGAGAATCCAGTCTGAAGTTGTACAAGGCTTTCTAGCTATAAACAAAACTTTGTGCTCAGACACAGGCCGGTAGCCAATGAACTTGTTCTAACAAAGGAATCACATCTAAGTTTGTTTCGGCTATCCCTGGCTAAGAGCTTAGCTGCAGTATTTTGAATCAGCTGAATATGTTTCTCAACATATTTCAAAAGCATCCCTTTTTACACTATGTTAATAGTAGTCCAAGCAAGATTTAGTATGTGTGCCACTGTAATCAGACCTGTTATCTCCAGAAGCAAGTGGGGTTGGTTCAATAGACTTAGGTGTGCACACTCCTGAAACCACCAAACTCTTGGATCCATGATCTCGTCTTTGAATGACCAGAAGTCCCTCTACCTAGAAAACCACATCCATAATGCATCCTACCAAATGAATGGGTCCAGACACCTATTTCTGGGCCATTCCTAACCCTCCATGAATACAGTATTGATGTCTTACAGCAAGACAAGACAACCTGACTTGAACACTAGCCTTGAGGCTACCCCTTGTGCAAGAAAACTGCAGCATAACAGGCAAAACAACAGCAGAATCACCCAAGAAGAATCAAGTATCTAGGAGGCATCTAGGAGTATCAAGTCCATTTGTAAACAAAACACATGAGGAACACAGACCTTGTTTTAAAGATGCTCTTTAACTATCACTAAAGTTGCACATTTGGTGATGGTGGGGATTGAGTAATGACAAAAAAGTGGCTCGGGAACCATGTTGGCCATCCCTATTGTGCAACTCCTGCTACAGCAGCTGATTCAGAATGCTGCAGGCAGGCTTGCATGCTGCAGTATAGAGAACTGAGGTGAGCAAAACTGAGACCCCTGCAATTCGCCTGTTTGCCTTCAGTATTATAATGGTTGCTTCTTAATTTTTTTCCTCATCTTCTCTCTTTATAAATATGCATTCATATATTAGTTGCTTTGCAAACAGAAATAATTACAACAAAGAAATACATTCTAACTATGGTAAAAATATCTTACATTTCAGATCTTGTGCTAATATCACTGCACAAGCCTGTTCTACCTATCAGAGATATTACAACTAGTAAATGGTAAATAACCAGTCATCCTCACAACAGGAAAATGCTGATCTCAGGGGTTTAAACAGTTATACTTCTGATAAGTGCCCTTGGCTTGACCATACAAGACACCCAAGCTCTGAGTTTCAAATCTCTGAACACTCAATGTAGTTTAGTCATATTTCTTCTTGTTGTTGTTAATCAAGAAAAGACAAGATATTTTGCCATCTGTAGATACTTCTTTTGTCATGGCAAAAAAAAAGGGAAAGGATTATTTTGGTCCCTTCTATATATGAGCACAATTACCTTGAAGTCTCCTCCCTGCCATATGCTCTTCTAACGAAAAACAAGAAAGCCAGGTGTACAACACCTGCTTGTTTTCCTATGTACATAGCAACAGGTTTTTTCTTCTTGTTCAATTGGTTAGGTAGGAACTGCAACAAAGGCTGGTACCTTCAGCTTGTGCAAAGATGAATCATAAGAGAAGGCCAAATTCTCTGGACTCCTGACATCAACCAAACTGGACTGTAAACTGAGAATAACATCTGCTTACACACTCACCATGTAACATGATTAATTTGATTTTAATTGGCTTCTCCTACCTGGTGAGTGAACCAAACTTTATCCCAGCTTTCTGATGGAGATAGCTATGTATCTGTGTAACCATTTCCCATACCCTAGCCAAGCAGGAAATTTGAGTTTCTTTCTGTTTTTTTTTATTTCTAATTTTTAATAATAAAAAAACAACAAAAATACAAAAAAATACAAATAATAGTGCTTATTATGAAACTAAATTCTAACGTGCACCCCATACCCACAGGACTCCATTTAACAATATTTTAATTACGGACTACCTCTCCAAAATTGTATAGAATTTTCTTTAGAGGCTTTCCCCCTTCCTTTCACTAACACAATTATTCCGACCATATACCGTTTTATCTTTTATCTTGTCCATAACCATGTTAAAATCTCCTGCCATGATAACATAACTTTTTTTTTACCTTTTCCATTTCTCTAAAAACTAAATCATAAAATTTTCCTTGTGTGTGTGTGTGTGTGTGTGTGTGTGTGTGTGAGAGAGAGAGAGAGAGAGAGAGAGAGAGGGCAGAGGTATATACAGATCCAGTGGCTGTTTTGTGTATGAATAGCTGGATGGAAAATTCCAGCCACATGTTAACAGGGGTGAAACAATAAACCACACCCCTGAAGGGCTCGGAGTAACCAGCTTTGACCTAACCTTGGGAAAGATACAGTGGTGCCTCGCATAACGACAAAGTTTTTGCGATCACAAAAGCGATCTCAAAACAATGTTTCCTATGGGTTTTTTTGCTTTGCAATGATTGGTTCGCTGCTTCGCTAACTGATTATCGCAAAACGACGATTTTCGCACAGCTGATTGGCGGTTTCAAATGGCTGCCGGGTTAAAAAATGGCCGCCTGCTGTTTTCTGAGACGGATTCCTCGCTGCACGGGCAGCGAAAATGGCTGCGCTATGGAGGATCTTCGCTGGATGGTGAGTTTCAAGCCCATAAGAACGCATTAATCGGGTTTTAATGCGTTTCTATGGGTTTTTTAAAATCGCTTTACGATATTTTTGTTTTACAGCAATTTTGCTGGAACGAATTAACATCGTAATGTGAGGCACCACTGTACCTGGCAGACTTTTGCCATGAATTTTTGGAACAATCATTTATTATTTTTCTGCTTTTTATATATGTTAAATAAATGAATGCAATCTTTAAAATTATATATTTTTAAAATTTCATTTCTTTCTCCTGTCACAGAATTTGATTACAAACTTGAGAGCCTTGTGGCACAGTGCTTAAACTGCAGTATTGCAGTCAAGATTCTGTTCACAACCTGAATTCGATCTCAATGGGCTCAGATAGTCAGATCAATGTTGACTCATCCTTCCATCCATCCAAGGTCGGTAAAATGAGTACCCAGCTCGCTGTGTGTGGGAGCAATGTGTAGCCTGCATAATTAAACTGTAAACTGCCCAGAGAGTGCACTATCCGCTACGAGGCAGTATATGAGTAGCTTTAAATATAGTTACCTATAATATCTGGAACAGAATGTGTACTCCTGGGGCAAATGCCAAGCTGACATTTTCAAAAATCTTGAAGGGATGGGATAGAAAATGTACAAATGAAACAAAAAACAAAAGCTACTGGAATGATATATTGAAAAGGTTTATGACTCTGTATACTTGGCTAGGTCAAATAATGTGATATAACCAAAAATCTGTTACCAATAAACTACAGCTGTGTGTGTTTGCATGCAAGCATGGCTGTGTATTTACCCAAGATTCAAAACTCATAATCTTGAGGTATTTTCTTGAGTTGATACCTTAGGTTAACTAGGTCACACAGAAAAAGCTAATAGAGAAATCAGATCTAGATCTCCTTATAGCCAAAACAGGGTCAATCCACAGAAAAGAGAGATACAGTGATGCCTTGCAAGATGAAAAATAATTAATTCCACGAGTCGTTTCATATTGTGAAAATTTTGTCTTGCGAAGTGCGGTTTCCCATAGGAATGCACTGAAATTTAATTAATGTGTTCCTATTCATCTTACGAAGCACAGCCATAGAAAAATTTGTCTTGCAAATCAGCAAAAAAATCTCAAAACACTTTCGTCTTGCGAGTTTTCCATTGCGCCAGGCATTCATCTTGCGAGGCATCACTGTACATCAGCAACTCTAAAGGAGGCTGCAAAGTTCAAAAACAACAACAACAACAACAACCTAGAGAGAGATCTGTCCAAAACGGCCCAGTAAGACCTGAGCACGGTCAGTGGCAAGAAATCCTAACTGGGTCTGTGGATGGAAAATCCAGTAGGAAGAGAATCGAATGGAGTGAAACAGAACAGAACAGAGTGGCCCAAAATTTGTACACAAGTGTTTCATGCTGCAATGTTTGGTTGTA